CAGTAGTGCGAGATGCGAGGGGGAATTTCCGATTTGCAGCAATTAGAAGGGAGAGAGCTCAATGGTCACCGGAGCTAGCTGAAATCCGGGCGATGCAGTTTGGTCTCCGATTGAAGGAAATGCACGACCTCCAGCAGCTTGTGGTAGAGACGGATTGTCAGAATGTGTTTCTATCACTCAAGAACAAGGTAAGGACAAGGACGTCAGGGGATATTGGGGTTTTGAGATGGGAGTTTCTCCTAGATGCTGGCGGAATAATTAGGGGGAGGGAGGCCGAGCGACTTCTTCCCGCTTTATATATACATATATTTTTTTCATAAATAATAATAATAATAATATCATAGTAGTTATTATGAGAAAGTGAATTGGTTTCTGTTTGGCTTTATTTTTTATTCTTCTGTAATAATACTATATCAGTGAAGCAGAACAAACAAAAGTTTACCAAAAATTAGTGGGTAGTCGAGATACAATCTAGGCCCCCACTCCCTTAGCTATAGAAAAACTAAGTCTAGAAAAGATGTACGCGGCTGCTCGAGCCCCTGCATCCTGGGACATGGAGAATTTCTGGATCCTCTTGAGCAAAGCCACGATGTCTGTATTCAACTCTCCCAGCGAAGAAAAAGAAAAGGGCAGAAAACCGTAACCAACCGCCATACACAAGTCCCGGTACTTGGCACACTTTCACTGAGCAGCATCAGCAGCAACTCGGCCAGGCACAAAACCGGTCATCCCAGTCTGAGTTAGAGGTGAAGATCCACTACACACACATCTCGCCCACTGTCCTAGTAATAAAGCAGCAAATCCGCAGGATGAAGGGGTCTGCCATGGCCATCAACCAAACCGATATCAACCTCTCTACCTACAGAAATCCCAGACATGTAAGAGATCCAATAAGGTGTCACGAACGAGGTTGTGCCAATTCTTAATGCCCACAGAACCAGCACATGACACAGCATGATCCCCAAAGACATCACCAAGAAAGACACGGGAACAAGCAGGACAGGGCTTTGATATCGAAAACAACGGGACACCCAGTCGATAGCTAAGCACACTACGATATGTCCTCCCATTCATAGTCTATCCCAACCTAGCAATAGGAACAACACGCAACCAGTCAAAAGAGTGTGCACTCTGCTGAGACTTCCACAAAGACACCTCACGCGTAGTCAACGAGAAAACAGAGTATGAAGTAGTAACAACCTTCGCGAAATACATATCTGCCAATTTCATCATAAGTTTTGGGACAGCAACTCCACTAGGGTAATGAAGAGATCAGAACCTGTAAACTCGTTAAAGGTGCGTAGGGCGTCATCAAAAGTAGGGCCAGGAGATAGAATACCAGAAGGACTTAGGAGTTTAGCTTGCAACTCTGCAGATTGCAAACGAGAAGCCAAAAAAGCATAATGCAAGACATCTCCAGCAGCATAAACCCCAAGCCCGCCCAAATGAAAAGGGAAGGTGGCAAGCCGCCACTGGCAATCACCAGACCTGGGTCCAGAAGTAGTGACAATACGTTCTAAACTAGACCGAAGTGCTGTGTCAAAAGATAGCTGGGGCCGGACCAAAAATACCAGTACAGGCCCGAAGAAAAAGCAACTCACATTGTGGGTCATCAATCCTAGCAACCAAGTCCATCAGCTCATTGGTCTTAGTAACTCACTTCGCCACAAGCTCACTGCTTAAATCAGGACAAGAACTGACAGGACCACCCAGAACGGTGACACCGTGTGGAGGCCGAGCGATAGAGGCAGAGAAAACACCTGAAAGCCGACTCCTAGGATCCTCAGTAGGCCAAAAAATCTCTGTCTTACCCACATTTAGATGAAGGCCAACTCGAGGGCCTTCAGCCATAATCATGTCCAAGACCTTCCCAACAACCAAAGTGTCCCCCACAATAGTGCCATCATCCAAATACCAAGCCTGCATACTCAAATCAAAAGAGTATCTGATCTTGCACACTAAAGGATGCAACATTAAAGTAAAAAACAAAGGGCCCAAAGGGTCTCCCTGCTGAACCCCCTGGCAAGACCATAAGCTATGCATCCCATAATACATTCGGGCAGGGCTAGAGTAACAAAACTCTACCCATTGGGATAGGACCGGGCCATGACGACGAACTTCCTGAAGTATGGCCCCACGATCAACTAAATTGAAAGCATTATGGAAATCGACCAACAACATAGAAAGACCCACGTCACCACCGCGGGCCTCACCGAACCGGTTCAAGATAATGAAAATAGCATCTCCTCCACCAGAAACCCCGACCCCAAACTGAAGACCAGCAAAATAACCAGATAAAGTAGGCCAACAAGATAAGCACCAACCTTAGAAACAAGACGTCTCCAAACAGTGCCAACAGCTATAGGATGGATACCACCCCTTGGTTTAACAAGAGGCGTGAGCGGAGCGCTAGCAATGTACTCACCAAGGGGCTGCGGACATCGACCCTCAAGGAAAAGATTAACCACTCGAGTAATAGAGTCTAGAAATCCATAAGATGTTGATATCGAAAACCATCCCTCCCGCAAGATGTACCACGAGGAAAGCTCCTAATCATATCCAAAACAAGGGCTGAAGAGGCAACAAGAGGATGATGATCCACAGGCAAAGTCGGTAATGAGGGAGATGGGGCAACATGATGCTTATCTTGCAAGGCCAGAAGAGTGGCATCAGAATAAGGGCCACACCGGATGAGTAAAGCACCCCAAAAAAAGCAGCATAATGCCCATCACAAATCTTCCTCCGACATTGCCGAAGGTTGAGCTCACCCAAAACAAGGTCCTCCTCTACAGCAAACGGAGAGGGAACCTCATCTAAAGTCTCTCGCAAAAGCTGCAAACTGCCACAAGACCCCCAAGCAATAATAGCACTGGTAACACTCTCCTCCTAGCGAAGGCGCCTAACAGCGAACCGACGCTCAAGATTACTCCACAGAGAAAAGGTCTTAAGCACGCAGAGAGGAAACACAAGTAAGCGAATCCAACAGGAGAGGTCGCCAGGAGAAACACCCACATCATCCAAAGCCCCTTTTAGAGCCCTTGCAAACCCAAGTCGACCCTTAGGAGGGATAGATTTCACAGTGCGAAGACCATGGTTGTCATGCCGGTGGCATGCCACCCGATTGAACCTGGTTCAACCTGTGTCGGTCATGAAACCGGCATGACACCACCGGTATGAGCGGTATGATCGATTTACACATTCTAAGAAAAATGACATCAATTTAATGAATTTAATGAATAAAAAAAATAATTTATTATTCATTTTATGAATGTAATAGTTAAAAGTTGATGATATTTGTTGGATTGTAACTAAATTGTCCACAAATATGTTTTATATATGATTAAATACATTGGATATTAATTGTTTTCACATTTTTTTAAACCGGCATGAACCGGCACAAACTAGTTATACCACCGGTCGTACCATTCCACTTCCCAAACAGGTATAACGGTATAAACTGGTTTGACAACCTTGGCGAAGACCCATAAAGAACAAGCAATAAAGCAAAGAGATAGACCAACCCACAGGCTCAACCCTAGCATCACATTAGTGAACTGACGAAGACGGAGCCGGATGTCTGGGAATATCAAAAATAAAAAAACGAACAAGGCCGTCACCACAATCTGGAGGCTCCAAAAAATATTCTCATCATGCCGACATTTAGAACGGAAGGCGTGAGTACGAAGACATACCCCACAAATCCAAACCCCCATCAGATTGAGAGTAGTTTCAGCATTAGAAAACATCGTCAAACTATCAGAAGAGTTTGACGTGTAAGAGCAATAGCTTCACCGCGACAATGCCAATATTTAAAGTGTTGGAGCAAGGAGGATTTAACCCTTACCTCGACCATCCTGACACCCATGGAGACCGACAAAAGGACAGTAATAATGAACCAGAGCGGGCATGACAGCACAACAAATCCAAACCCAACTTGCACCAAGAGATAACCGGGAAAATTAAAGCAAATAGATGAAAACCCTAAGAATCCAATTGCCACAAAGCAAAACCCCTGCCGTTGATTATTACCTCCATGGAACGATCGCCCTTGCTCCATGTCGAATCATCCAAGCGTTTGGTCTGTTACCAACAGCGGATCCGAGACCCACGGCTTGCTCAATTCTCCAGGGATCTGGTTGCTCAATTCATAATCTATGGTTGCAACCCTTTGTACGTAACCATTAACTCAACCGTTCACGTATTTTGATCGAACCTGAACTCAAATGTCGGGCTGTTACATTTCCTCCACCCTTATAAAAATTTTGTCCCCAAAATTTGCTCGGAACTCATTCTTCTATCAACATCCTTCTTATACCTCCTTCCCAAGATCATCTTCAAAATTGACTCAAGAAAAGTAGAAAGAAAGAGAAGTTGACAGGACTGCGGTCGGCGTAGACCCTTCACCATTTTACCTGAATAAGGACGACACCAGTTGACAAGCCCTGCAGCGTTTAGCGCGTTGCCCCACTGTCTTTCGCAACGTAGTACAGAGAGAGCGGGTGAATAGCACTCTTTTAAAGGGGTCACCCCTTCTAGTGTCCTGCCCCAAATAGGACTCAAGTGGTGGTCTATCTCCAAGAGGTTACGTTGTGGAAAGGGATTATTATTGGTTGAAGATATATTATTAAATATCTTATCATTTAAAAACCCAAATTATAGCTCCCATGACGTAAAATCCTGAGAGGATCTATAAGAGATTGCATCCGTCAAGCCGTTACTGTGAACGCGTATTGTAGATTCGCCAATCCCCCCGCTGGCGGCCCGGCAATTGTCACCAGAGGGGAGTGATACCTTGTCATCAATTCTGTTTGTCTCATCAGAATTCCTGCCGCCGGAGCAGGGTTAAGATCTTGTTGTTCTCCGGAGGGTTTATGACAGCGTCCGGCAAACGACCCCATATGGTGGTCAGCTAGTGTTATATTCAGCCTAGATGGATATAGGGCATTATCCATCCATCCTTCCTTGTCCAACTCCGATTGAGATAGAAGAGAGAAACTCCGATTGGAAATAAATTATAAGAGATAAAAGTAACTCGGTTGTTGTTCAACAGAGGAAAATAAGAAACAAAATAACCTATAAAAACATACAAATCCCACTTATGAAACTAAAACACTCATGCACGCACCATCAGTTCCAATTTCACACACACAAATTAAGACCCAGAAACAATTATTTACTCCAATGCCAAAGTAGTTTTTTCTTCTTATTCTTCTTCTTCTTTCATGCAATTGGTCAATGGTTTCTTAGCTGCCTAAGGTTCATGGGAGAGATGTATTTAGTGTCTCCATCCAAAAGTTGTTTAGCGATGATCACATTGGCAGCCTCACTCGGATGGTATGGATCCCAAAACACATGCTTCGAACGATTTGCGCACATACTTGATGTTGGTCCACATGGAACTATCCCAGCGAATTGCCCTCCATTTCCACAACATGCCCTACTTGACGTCGTAAATCCTTCATAAAACAAAAACAAAAAAGTTAATCAATCGTTGGCATCAATCATATATGAATCGTCGAGTGAAACTAGTACTAAATCAGAGTTGGTCCTGTGTGATTGAATATAACTATTAAGTTGGGAGACCAATGGGAGATAGGTTACACAGTTTTCTTATACCGTGAGAAGGCTTATGAGTCGGGGGATATTAAAATCAGCATTGGGATGGGTTTTAAGAAAATTTTAAATTATCAACGTTGGGAATTTATCATGGCTTCTACACTAACTAGCTTTTGACATCTCAGAAAGCTCGAGTTCATGATAGCAGTAGAAGAAGAACTACCATGAACTCGAACCTTATGAAGTGTGAGTAGGTGCTTTGTACCAAAGCCATGAAACCTCAAAATTTTCTTGCAAATGTCGAATTAGTGTGGTTTCATTTCACTTAATGATGACAAAAAAAAATTCAAAAATTTGAGCATTGACCAAATCCAATTCAGTACGAACAAAATAAGGTTTGAGTAATATCACTTTTTGAACATACTCATACCTAGTGTGAATTGGATCGAAGAGAGTTAATGAGTTTATCGATATTGTCTTTTTTTTTAGTATAATCATAAGTATCCAAATAGATCATTTGAGTACAAATCTAAATGAATTTACCCAAATTGAACTCAATTCAAACCCAACCAAAGGTCAAAATCATTGAATATGCATACAAGTTTCTTTCCGATCCAATACTCATTTAGATCATGACAATTGAGTCAAAGACGCACCTGATTTCACTAATCTCATTGAAAAGTGATATTACCCAAACCTTGTTCGATGATCACTATAGTAATCATCAAGTCACACAATGATCGAAAAGAAAGATTGTTCGATGACCAAAACGAAATAAACATCAAAGCCTAGTGATCAATCGAGCAAATTTCACATACACATAAAACAAAGTATTCTTGCCGTAAGCGTACCGTATTTGCCATAATTGCTGATGAGCTCCATGACCAAATCGTAGACATTGGCGTGAACAAACACGGCATCAGGCATGTTGTCATTCATCTCCGCAAGCAAATCCTTCAACCTGCCATTGTACTGAAGCGCAAGCTTGTTCGGCAAATCCACACACTCATTCTCCTTCAACTGGTTTATCGTCTTCTGGTACGGAATGCATCCAATCGGCCCAACGTTGCCAATCACAAACTTCCGAGCGTCCATTTGGTAAAGCCTCTGCCACCGCCGGAAAGAAGAAAAAAAACAGAGTAAAACAGAGCCAGAAAACTCAACGTACCAATTTATAGTTAAATCACTTTTCACGGGTAATCTTACAGTGAGTTGACCTCTCAAATGGGAGATCATGTCGTCGATGAAAGCATCAGGGCTCTGCGAAATCCTGGCGCCGACGGACAGAACAGGGAGGAGGTAGTTGTTGAGAAAATCGTTGGCTCCGACGGTGATGGAGAAGATGGAGTTCTTGGTGATGAATTCCCTGGCCTTGGATGTTCCCAGAAGCTGATCAAGCTGCTTCCTCGTGATGTTGAAGTAGTCGATTTGCACGTCCATGCCCAGCCTGTTGACGAATATTCTTCCGGTGGCGTTCATGATCCCTCCGCCGCCGGAAGCATAGTTGACCCCTGAGAGGAGCGCCTTTCCGGTGGTGTTGGGTGCTAGAAACGGCTGTGCGTAGTTCGTCTGCCCAAGTTCTTCCCCTGCAAATCGATTATGCAGAGATAACACGCATGGTCTAGAAGTATCGTCCAGTTCCAGATCGCCCAATACGTGATAAGAATCCAGGTATTCCTATTAACCTTTGATAATCTAACAATACGATAATCCGGAGAATTTGCCTATCACCATAAATAACAGAAAATTCAAGGAAGGCAGAGCATATGCCCTGCCGCCGGTCAAGGTTTCGTGAGCTTACCGACGATGTCACTGATGGTCTTCCCGTTGGTGTATCTGCCGGTGGGACTCCCACCGGACGCCGCGAAATCGATCCCGTTAGGCCGAATGTTGGCCTTGGACAGAGTGGAGATGAAGTTGTTGTTGCCAGCATCAACCAGAGAATCGCCAAAGATGAACGAAGCGCCATTTGCGCCATCGTCGCAGAGAGCTGAGCCGCTCAAATTGATGATGATGAGCACCGCAACAAGTAAAGCCAAACCCATGATTTAATTTTTCGGGTTTCTTTCCTTTTTCCTCTCTTTCTCAGCTGCAGCAGCTAACAGAGATGGGGGCAGAGTATTTAATGCAGCAGAGAAATACAGAGTCAAAAAATGGGTTTTGCCGCGCGAGATAACTTGTGAAGGCTGCTGGTGAAGTTGCGAGTTGGCGTGACCAGAGGAATTTTTTTGTAAGGTGGTGGGTTTTGGTTTTTCTTCCTTTCGATGGTGGGAAACGAAAGAGTTGAGGGTTTGGAGTTGGATTCTGTGTAATATGGGCATGGGGTAGTTCAGCAAACTCGTTGGTGTAAGGGAGAAGGGGATTGTGTTTTTTTTTTCTTCTTTTTTTCTCAACCTGTGAGGAGACTTTTTCTTATGGTACACTGCAAAGTTGGACCGTGTGGGGGATTTGAATTCCAAATTAGTGTGTAGAAAGTGGGAGAGACTGAGTGACGTGTGAGGATTTTGAGTGGCCTGATTGTGGGAAGTGATTTGTTTGGGGGAAAGTAGGTGGTTGTTTGGGACCTATAAAATTTTGGGGGAGGAGTGTCTTTGGCTAATGTTGGGCATGGTTTTCAAGAAATCACAATCATAAATTTGTAATTGCTTAGTCTATTCTTACCCTTTTGTAATAGTTGGAGCTTTATGTTCAATGATTGTCCGAATATGATTGGAAGCTCTTAGAGATTCATAGTGAATTGTGGAAAAGGTTTGAGCTCAATTTACATTATTCAGATATTGAACAAATGAGAAACAAATACTGACAGTATTAAATTTTTGTATAGAGTCCAATACTTTAATGTTTATTGTTCCATTTCATTGTGAAGATGATTATAAACACAATATCTTCTCTCTTAAAATTTTCTTCATAACGATTATTCAAGTTTCTTGCTTACTATGGATTTTAAAGATTCTATATCACAATATGGCAATGTCATATAAACAAATAAGTGAACTAGCCATATATTAAAGATCACTCTCAAAATTACAAACAAAATTAATAGACTTTGAAACAAGCATTCACCACTTTCCTCTTACTTTCGCGGGGGGCAACATACTCGAAATAATTGCTTGCTACGCCCCTTAGGTGCCTAAGCCTCCTGTACAAGATATTTACCATCTATCATATCATACGGCTTTCTAACTTCACTTCGCCATGCAACACCTGTATGAAAGTTCGTACCATCCCGTTAAGGACATGTTTTGTTGTTCATATGTCTGGTTCTAAGTGCTTTCGTTCCTCTCACTTTGTTCGAGCTACTTCGTTCCTCTCCAGCGGCGGGTTACCAGAGAAGAGAGGACAACTGCTTTCTCCCTTGCCTTGCTCAATTTGAGTTTTCCAAAACAAACACGCAAGGCCCGGATCGAGGAGAAGCTGGGCAGCAGCATTGATGTACTTTTACCGTCTTCCCTCATTCAAATATTTCCATCCCTCAAAAGGATCAATTCATCTCAATCTACAAAAAACATTACCTTGGGCACGCAACCCAAAAAGATAGAAAGACTGCTCGCTCGATGAGCTACTTCGTTCCTCTCCTTCCCCCCACCCGTCTTTCTGGCAATATCTCCGCAAGAGCTTCTCCCTATTAGATATATATTCTTATAGAAGCTAATCCTGATACAAGATCCGAACTTGAGTGAGGCAGAGGAGAGTGGAATTTCGTGTGTAGGGGTGAAATCCGGAGATCTGCGAAGGAACGCCAAAAGCGAAGGCATCTCTCTGGGTCCCTACAGAAAGACCTCTCATTCCATTACCAGCCCGAGTCTGGGTAGTACCCCGGGACTGTACCATAAAATACTGACCGGAGATTCCTCCAAGTAGCCATGTTCCATTACTCAAGACCTGGTTCCCTTCAAGAATTGGAATCCCGAACCGATTCGGAATAGAAAGTCTCGGTCAATGAAGTAGAGTGGGCTGAAACATTGCCTGATGCTGAGGAATCGAGATATTTTCTTTCAAGAGAACCTGGATCCTTTGGTTCGGGAAAAAGCTGCTTCACGCTCTTGCCGGAAACCATCGGAAAAAGATGAAGCTATAAGGGTTGTAGGCAAGTTTCACTAGTTAAGTGAAAGTGGCGGCGAATGAAAGGTTGAAGGAAACAAAATTTTTTTTTATAATGGTGATGATAAGATTAAGGGAAAAAAGAAAATGTTCAAACCTTATACAAAACAAACCAAGCAAGGATCACAAGAAGTGACCACAAGCAGAGCAAAAGAAACACATAAAAAATACAAAAAAATACAAGAAGGGCAAATAGACAAAAGCAGTTGCAATCCTCACAAGAAGGAGACAAGCTTTGACCACAACTTAGTCATCGGGGTGGGTGAGAGTTGCAGGGATGGGAAAGGATGCTAGATTCATGAATAGCGTGTGCTAGTTTTGTAAGAAAAGAAAAGCCGATAATGGAGAAGAGGCAATGAAGTAGGGATGAGAAATTCGTACAAGGAAAGAATGAAAGGATAACCCGACTAAAAAATAAATAAAGCAAACCATAATGGTAGGGTGTCCAATGGTTTGTTCCATAGCAGACTGCACCAGACCAATCTGACACCTAAACCAGACCAAATTGCCCGACTATAATGCAGTCCGATCATTGGTCCTATGCATTTTATAAGTATTGAAGGAAAATGGGTTTCATTGATATTTGGACCATACCACACTAGACTTAGTACACATTGGTCCAGTCATTGGTCCTAAATGCTTTATTCTTATGGATTGCAGTTCTCAAGTTCAACAGGAAGATATGACCACTCTCTGGCACATGAGACTGGGGCATATGAGTGAACGGGGGATGCAAGTTCTATCGAAGAGGGATCTTCTTTGCCGGCTCAAGGTGCAGAATTTGGAATTCTGTGAGCATTGTGTGTTTGGGAAGCTACATCGCAGCAAGTTTCCCAAGAAGGGTATCCACCGGACGAAGGGGATACTGGATTACCTCCACTCCGACTGTTGGGGTCCTTCACGAGTTGAATCCATTGGAGGCAGTAGGTATTTTCTGTCTATTATTGATGATTATTCAAGATTTACTTGGATTTTCATGATGAAGCAGAAAAGTGAGGCTTTCACGAAGTTCAAGCAGTGGAAGACATTGGTGGAGAATCAAACCGGGAAGAAGATCAAGAAGCTGCGAACGGACAATGGTCTGGAGTTCTGTAATTCTGAGTTCAACGAATTTTGCAAGGATGAAGGGATTGCCCGCCATCGGACTGTTAGAGATACACCCCAGCAGAATGGCGTTGCAGAAAGGATGAACCAGACATTGTTGGAGAGAGCACGGTGCATGCTTTCCAATGCTGGACTAGAGAGAAGATTCTGGGCAGAAGCGGTAAACATGGCGTGCTTCCTGATCAACCGTGGACCTCACACAGGTATCGAGTTGAAGACTCCTTATGAGGTGTGGTATGGTAAGCCTGCTGATTACTCTTCACTGAAATTTTTTGGGTGTCCTGTTTATTATCATGTGGATGAGGGTAAACTGAACCCAAGGGCAAAGAAGGGTGTATTTGTGGGTTACGGAGATGGAGTTAAGGGATTTCGAGTCTGGTCACCTTCTGAGCATCGAGTTATACTTAGTAGAAATGTGATATTTGATGAGAAGTCTATGTTTAACCCCATGTTGAAGGTTACTGTTGTTGAAGGTAGCAGGAATGTTGATAAACAGGTGGAGCTGCAAACTCTCAATGAGAGTGAGTTTGAGCACCAAGGTGGAGAAGATCAACATGATGAGGATGTCTCTGCAGAGCCAGAAACTTCAGAGTCCAGTGCAGGAGCTAAACAGTCTATTGCTTCCGGTAGACCGAAGAGAGCGACTGCAGGAGTACCTCCACAGAGGTATGGCTTCGAGGACATGGTGGCGTATTCATTTCAGGTTGCTGAGGAAGTGGATGCAGGAGAGCCACAGTCCTACAGAGAAGCAGTTTCGGGTGGTGAAGCTGATCAGTGGCTTGCCGCAATGGGAGATGAGATGGAATCCCATGACAGGAATCAGACTTGGGAGCTAGTCAAACGACCACAGGGAAGGAAGATTGTTACAAACAAGTGGATCTACAAGAAGAAGGAAGGAATCACTTCTAAAGAGGGCATGAAATTTAAAGCTCGGGTGGTTGCACGAGGCTTCTTGCAAAGGGAAGGAGTTGACTACAATGAGATTTTCTCACCAGTGGTCAGACATACTTCGATCAGAGTGCTACTAGCAATAGTGGCACATTATGACTTGGAGCTCGAGCAGCTAGACGTGAAGACAGCTTTCCTACATGGAGAGTTGGAGGAAGAAATTTACATGACTCAGCCAAAAGGATTCGAGGTTCCGGGAAAAGAAGACTATGTTTGTAAGCTGAAGAAGTCCTTGTATGGACTTAAGCAATCTCCGAGGCAGTGGTACAAGAGATTTGACAGTTACATGCTTGAGTTGGGCTACAGCAGAAGTCCATATGATTGTTGTGTATATCACAGCAAGGCAGAGGATGGTTCGATGATATATCTAGTTCTGTATGTGGATGATATGCTCATAGCTGCGAGGTCAAAGTCTGATATCCAGAAGTTAAAGGGGCTTCTCAGTGCTGAGTTTGAGATGAAGGATTTGGGAGCTGCTCAGAAGATCTTGGGAATGGAGATTTACAGGGACAGGTCGAAGAAGAAGCTTTTCTTGTCACAGAAGAGCTACATCCAGAAGATACTGTCGAGGTTTGGCATGTCTTCAGCAAAGCTCTTAAATACTCCTAGTGCTTCAAATGTTCATCTATCCTCGGCTTATGCACCACAGTCAGAGGCTGAGAAGGAGTACATGTCGAGAGTCCCATATGCTAGTGCAGTAGGTAGCTTGATGTACGCTATGGTATGCATTAGACCTGATCTTGCACATGTTGTTAGTGTTGTCAGCAGGTTCATGATACAACCTGGAAAGGAGCATTGGCAGGCTATGAAGAGGATCTTCCGGTACCTTAAGGGTACACCTGATGTGGGGATTAGCTTCGGAAGTGATACAGAGTGCTTGGTGTCTGGGTATTCTGACTCGGACTATGCTGGAGATGTTGACACGAGGAGATCGATGACCGGTTATGTATTCACTCTTGGGAGTTCTGTAGTGAGCTGGAAGGCAACTCTGCAGTCGGCGGTGACGTTGTCTACTACTGAGGCAGAGTATATGGCGTTGACAGAAGCTGCTAAGGAGGGAATATGGTTGAAGGGACTGGTTGGTGATCTTGGTCTACATCATGATCAGGCAGTGGTGTATTGCGACAGTTTGAGT